AGCCAAACTGCGGGATGCTCACTATGCCCCTCTTCCCCCTATTTATTTATTTATTCGTCAATCAAATAAAAAAAACAATAAACACATTCACTAACCTGCAAAGAGATCCGGCTTCGAATTCCCCGCCGGGATCCAGCTTCGGACTCCCTACCGGGATCCGGCTTCGCACTGGTGCACTTTCCTAAACAAAGCATAATTACAGTACATTAATTTACATTAAATTAGTAAATTTTACTTACCTGAAAAACAGCCTTCCTTTTTCAAGGGCGATCGCGGGACTCGCAATCTTCGAAACTGGTGGGGGTCCAGGTGTGGGAGCTGCCTTCCTGGCACGTCGGTAGCATTGGTGCTCAGCACGGAAAACAAGATCGACGGAAAAAAACAAACCAAAGGATTTGCCGCAACGTCGGACACCGAATCGCCACCAAAACTCGCGACGGACACTGCGAAAAAAAACTGTACACGGCCAATGTGATCAACCCAAATTTGAATACAGTGTACTCAAAATCTCAAAAAATGCAGGAACGCAGCGATGAGTAAATTTGCCTCATGTTTTCCGGTGGAAAACTTCAAAAATCTTCCGGAAAATTAGGATTGACGAAAATCCACAGAATCCAATCTTTACTTTTCTTATATTCGGAAAAAAAATTACTGGAAAAACCTGGAAAACCTGGAAAAACAGAGGGAAATTTTTCCTGTACTTTTTGCGATTTATGAGTGAACTAAACTCAAATTTGGGTGTTCTCATTCGCCGTGTAGTGCTGACTCAGGACAAAACAAACTTTGCATGCGGCGAGGGACCGAAGGACAACAATTTACATCGTGATGAAGTTTGATTCTAATGTAACGTTAGGTTCTGTTGTCATTGGATGTATTCTGATGTTTTATGCGTGCAACAAATTACAGCGTGATGAAGTTTGATTCTAATGTAACGTTAGGTTCTGTTGTAATTGGATGTATTCTGATGTTTTATGCGTGCAACAAATTACATCGTGATGAAGTTTGATTCTTATGTAACGTTTGGTTCTGTTGTCATTGGATGTATTCTGATGTCAAATTTTACATCGTCAAGACGTTTGATTCTGATGTAACGTTTGAGGCTAATGTATTTTTATGTACTTGGATGTCACACTGAAGTCTGAATACATTAAGGGTACAGCAATACACATTAAAATTTAATGTATTGAAGATGTCTGCTGATGTTTCCTACATTACAATTTCTATTCGGGAAGACCACGCGAGTTGTTGCTCTACGTTGGGCACTACAACACGAGTGAAACATGGATGCGCAACGGAGTATGGGCGCTTCATGCGTATCATTTTGTCATTTTTTTATGCATTTCAGTTTTGAGTAGAGTGAATGAGATAGAACCAAAACATTCTAGTACATTTGGTGAAAATGCTAGTTCAATCTAATAGTAGTGTTGCCATGTAGTACAATCCAGTAGTAGTGGTGTTGCCATGTGGTACACTGAAAAATTGCAATAGCAGGTTAGTCACCAAAGTTTTCGAGCCGCTCCGTCTGTCACTTCGTTTGTGCTTGCAACTATTTTTGCAAAAAAAAAATAAGTTTTTTCGAATGAAATTGATATCGAAAGTGTACCTAAAGTGCTTCTGAACGTGTTTCGCAGTTGGGTGTGGTGAAATTTGCGGTTGTTTTCAGTGAAAATTCCGTATCACAATTTTGCTCACCGAGTTCCCTTTTTTTGCCGTTCGACGACATCGGGAATGCGCTCCCGGATATATTGATTTGGTGAGTACGTTCCAGTTGAGGATTGTTCTTGTACATTTCTCGATTGCATTTTCGAGGGGACGTGTCTGCTTTTGTGGGCAGTGCGTTTTATGGTCGGTTTGGTAGTATCCATTTAAATATAATGTCTTCTGTCCAAATAACCTCGATTTTCGGTCTATTGATTCAATACTTTAGTATTATATTTTCAAAACATACAATGATGCATTATGTCATTTCATGGCACATAAAACAAAAAGTGTGTGTATAGGACCCAATAATCTAGGTTATTTGTATTTTGTAAAACATCTTTATTTTTTATTATATTTTTTATTTTATTACATATTTTATATACATTATATATTACATATTACATGATTATATATAAATTCATAATGTAAATTACAATAAAAACTGGGACGGGAGGGAGCATCAGGGCATCATTGAAGTTGTAACTGGACAATGGAGTGGAGTGCCAACCGGAGTCTAGGAGGTAATGTGTACTGTCATTTTAGATAGTTACATTTCACTCCAACAGTTGCAATGAATTTGACGCGCTCTTCTAAAACAAATCATCCCGTGGAAAGCTTAACATGCATTGCGAATTTCGTTATTCATTTTGTTGGATCATATTGTTGGAAGGAGATTCTCTTATTCCCGCGGGTTTCGCGTAAGTGCCTCTGCTTACGGGCCCGTCCAACCCTTTTTGGCCCTTCATACAGCAGTACATATGTTGAATTCAGAATGATGACGGAATTTGATCTTGCTGTTGAGTGGAGCCGCATGCAGGGCAAGACCCAAGCTAGGATGGTGGCTACTTAAATACATACAATATGATCTTTGACAGTGTGCAAAGACTGTATCATTTTGTCATTTTTTTATGCATTTCAGTTTAGAGTAGAGTGAAAGAGATAGAACCAACAATCAATACGAAACTAACGATTTTAAATTGGCTCACCACTTTAGTAGCCTATTGGTCCCAAGCAAACGATTAACGTACCCTATTCTAGTTGAAATTCTATTACTACACTATGTTTGTTTTGATTCGCTATGAAAGTTTGACAGATAACATCAGGGGTGTGTGGATTCATGCAAAACATGCAGGGGTGAGTGAAATAGCTTGGGACTGCTTGGGACCGTTGTTCTGGTACTGAGTGAGCCAAAAATAATAATGATTTTCTTCGGGACCCAGTGGTCTTAGAGTTACCTCTATGATAGAACCAAAACATTCTAGTACATTTAGTGTTGCCATGTGGTACAATCCATTAGTAGTGTTGCCATGTGGTACAATCCAGTAGTAGTGGTGTTGCCATGTGGTACACTGAAAAATTGCAATAGCAGATGCGTCACCAAAGTTTTCGAGCCGCTCCGTCTGTCACTTCGTTTGTGGTACCAGAGCTGAGCCAAAAAGTTGAGCTCATTTCTTCGGGACCGAGTTCGGGACCTTCTGGTCTTAGAGTTACCGCAATGGTATTTGTATGTAGTTTTTGATGTATTTAGGGTGTGTATTTACAATTCAGTTGATTTATGAAGTTGATCGTCCCTCGCCCCTCGCAGTACCCCTACACGGTAACCAGCATGAACACATTGATGAGTAAAAAATACACATTTTTCATGTTAATATGCAGCTGTCAAAAACTATATAAATTAGGAGATTTTAAAATGTGTATAATACTCATTTTAAGAATGTGGTACCAGTCAAAAATTGAGTATTTTAATACTCTTTAATGGGTAAAAAAAACTTCAAACCTTGCCGCATCCTGCTTCGTTGATGCATGCCATTTTCCAGAGCTAAAATTTTTTCAGTAATTTTAGCCGAAAATGGAGGAACTACGGTCAAAACTGTACAGAGCAATGATGGACAAGGGTAAGTAATTTATATTATTTTCATTGCTAAGCCCTAGAAAAAAAATCATTATTAAGGTTTTCATTGTCCAGTGTCTGGTTGCGATTTTTTCAATAAATAGTATTGGAACCGAGTAATCTTTATCTTATCATTGACACCATTAATAAAAAACCATGCGTCCCCATCATAATTAAATTCTATAAATGATTACTTTTTACACATTTTGCAGTAAAAACCGAGGGGGACGACTATATCTACGATGCAGGAAAAAAATGTGTTTTGCTGTGGCTAGCTGCACGCACGCTGAGTAGATATAAAGAAGATTGATGACAATTCTGAAGATTTCCTGCACAAATATGATGCGCGATGCAAGTAGATGCGAGAAATGAAAGAAGATTTTTCGAAGATTTATTAGCTAGTGTGAGATTTGTTGAGCATCTAGAATTGAGATTTAGATGTGTCGCCCCCCTCGGTAAAACCGTACTTGAAAAATGTGTGAAATTTACTGTTCTATTGAAGAATCATAGCGATTGACTCAAAGATGGCGAGTGGGTGAAAATGGTAATGACGTTTTGAAATCTGTCAAAAGGCATGACATTTTTTAGTACATCATCATTTTTGTAGCGGCACCGGTGGTGTAGTGGTAAGCGTGATTGCCTCTCACCCCAGCAGGCCTGAGTTTAATCCGAGGTTCAATCCCAGTCGGCGCCGCCGGTATGTAAAGCCGTTGGTTCCCGGTTCATGAGTTGATGGGTCGATAGGTAGGGTGCAGGTGTGGGAGTTGCCTTCCTGGCGTCGGCAGCATTGCGGTGCTCAGCACGGAAAACAAGATCGACTGAAAACAAATCAAGGAAAAAAAATCATTTATGTAATTGCGGATCTGAAAAATAAGCGTCGCATGACCAGTTTTAGCTTTTCTTTGATTCGCCAATTGACGTTTGATGGGTTTACACAACGCAGTTTACACATTTTATGAGTAGACCCGTTTTTTCACGAAATGTGTGAAATTTTACACATTAATGTGTTTACGCTGGTTACCGTGTAAAGAAACGGCGAATCCCGCTGCGCCGTTTGGTGACCCCTGGTTTACTTTTTGAATTCGTTACTGCGTTACTTTTATTCATCGCCACGCCTTTTGACAGCTCCTAGACTAGAAAACATCGCCAAAGTTCAAAACGAAGAAAGAACGACAACGGTCGCCCGTGGTCGCCGTTCACAGCGAGTTTGTGTGGATTTATTGAATATTATAAACTAATTTTTCACTATTGATCAGTTCACGAAGATTTGCCGCACTCTTCTCTCACCCGTAAGTTTTGACAGTTTTGGGTGGTTTGTTTTGGCTCCCATTCGTTGCTATCTCTTTTACTCAGAAGCAAAATGATAGGGAGCAAAAAGTGAGGTTAGGGACCGTGCACTGATCTATATCGACGCGCCTAGTTGTAGGAATCAAAAGATTTACTTGCTTTGATTTTACGTAGTTGGTGTTTTGAAACCAAAATGGAGGACCTTGAAAAAACGAAGGAAAATATTCAACCCTTACGTGGGGGTAGAAATATGGAGCAGCTAGAGATTGCGCTTACCTCGGAATCGCAACTAGCCGAAGAAAGAAGGTAAGATATGGGGAATAGTTTGCATCATAAACATACGTTTTGGCAAGATGGACTAACCATAGTCTTAGTCGTCATCAGACAACAGCAAAAAAAAAACACGTTTACAAAATTGTTTTTGTAGGGCACATGAGCAGAGAATCGAAACATACGAAGGCAATGATCCGCTGCAACCGTGGTATGAATATATCTGTTGGATAGAACAAACTGCTCTCAGCAATGGAAACTCATCGGCCAACAGTGAGATTCTTCTGCGTTGCATTGCTAAATTTGAAAATGACGAGCGTTACCATCAGGACCATCGGTTTATCAAACTTTGCATGAAATATGTAAGATTACAGCGATATATATATATTGTTTTCTATTCAATGACTTTTATTGAAATTGTTTGTAGATCGATACCCAGCGTTCCCCACAGGAGCTGTATCAGGAACTTTACGACCGTGGCATTGGAACTCTGTGCGCCGAATTGTACGTAGGCTGGGCTTACTATTATGATGCAGAAGATAATTTTGCCCAAACGGAGTCGATTTTCAGAAAAGCGTTAGACGCTGGCGCTACTCCCAAGGAAGACATTGAGCAGGCGCACAGACAGTTTGGATTTTCAATGTCTCAGCGATTGCTGCATAAGGATGAATCTTCAAAGATTAAATTTCAATCTACTTTAGCCGAACGCAGAACCGCTCTAACTTCACTTAAGGCACACCAAAGGAAGCATGTGGGCAGCGTTAGGACAGGACTTGCTATAAAAAGCTATAATCCCGGAATTGTAAATCAGGAGAACGTCCCTAATGGTTCAATGAATGTCAACGGTTTACCTGTGTACACTGGAGCTACGGATTCTTCCAATGGAAATCAATCGATTGTTCGTTCTTTGGTGAATGCTAGCCGAGATCGGGAAAATGTTCGTGAGCCAGGCCCTTGGTCCAATGCAAAAGGACACCACAAACGAGGACCCTTGTTTGGAACGTCACATGGGCCATCATTCAAAATATCCGAGGATATTGTTGAGTATCAACCGATTCCACTGTTGATCGATAATCTGAGCCATGGCATTCAGCTGACACAAAAGCACAAACGTGAAAATTACCCGCAAAAGGCATTCGAACTTGCTGTTTGCGATGACGATAAACCGTCGGGATTTCCAATGTACGATAAACTTTCTCTCTATTGCCTTGGATCGAAGGAAGATTTCTGCCCAGAAGAATTGCATGGCTATCGGTACTTCAAGCGCCGTGGAATCGTCAACAAAATGACGGAACGCTACGATCCCATTTGGGCCAACGGGGCAAAAGCAGGAATCCGACTGCATCCGTATCATGTATGGGAGTTTAAGTTTAAACCGGGTGATGATCTAAATACGGAAAAGCCAGTTATCGATGAAACGAGCATCCGAGGAATTCAAACCAAGGTAAACGAATTTTACTCGGGCGAGGAGGAAATATCCCTTGAAGAGATACAGCTACAAAAATGGAAGGACGGGAAGATCAAGCGTAAGTTATTTTTTGCATTTTTTTTACAGTAAAACATTTACCAGATCGGGAGTTGTGGGAAAGTGGTTATTATTATTATTATTATTATTATTTATTAACGACACTTTACCATCAGCGTGGCATTCGTGTCGGAGAGGGAAAGTGGTGCAAGGTGAGCTATGTCTCGAAACCACCGATTTTAATATTTAAATTGGTAAAACAGAGCATAAGCAGAATTTTGAATATCGCCGTGTATTGTCGAGATTTCGAGATAGCAGCGCATGCCGATTTTCATACAAAATTGTCAACTTGTTTAACTTTGTTCTCTTATGATCAATTGAGCTGAAACGTTCAGGTCAGAACTACAAATATGTTCAATTTTACGATTACAAAATACCAAATTTTTGGGAAAAAAAACTGCACAGAATTAGGCTTTAGGTGGGTAAAATTATTAAGGTATTTTTCGGTATTATTCATTTTGAATAGTGAGATCGGGAGAAGGGGCGGTTAGCACGCTATGTCCCGAAAGGTTGCAGCAATTTGCGTGACTGAAATATCAGGGTGGCCAGTGAACCGGGGAAACCGGAAAGAAACCGAGAAATTAAAGAAATATCCGGGAAAACAATGCGAACATTTTTTCGCCAAAATAAACCAATAAAACACAGTGAGACTTTCCAAAATTTTTTTTTTATTGCGGTTATTTATAAGGCCCTCTCGCATATTAGACCATGCTTGGACCGATGACCATTATTTACAATTAGATCCCTTCCCGCTTTTATTTTTCAAATAAAACGTATTATCCCCTATTTGATAAGTTGCATTATTTTCCTCTAAACGATCTGTTTGCTGACCAGTCTTCTGGGTGCACTGATCGAGCTTTCTTTTTTCGTTCTCCTTGCGCTTCGACAACCGGCGTTTGTTGGTATTTTTAATGAAATCCTTTGTTGCGTTTGATGAGCTGGTGCTAGAGTTTTCGTCGTTGCTTTCAACGTTTGAAGTGTGATGATCCTCGGTTTGATTGTCGGTGTTTCGCTGTTGTTCTTCTGCTGAGAACCCGGTGAAAGCAGGAGATGATTGACCCGATGTCGTTGGCTGGTTTTGTTCGATATCCATCGACGGGAAATCAGCGAGACTGAATACCCCCTTGGTTGGTGGTGCTGCTAGAGCGGTGCTATTGTTCGATGAGGCTACATTTCTGTTTGGGATGTGCTGCTCGGCCACAATGGCGGCACGTTTTTGGTTGCTTGTCGTACGTTACAAACGTTTTTTCGTTGTCAACCGTGATGTATGATGGAATGGCGCAAAACTCGAACACCGCTCAGGAATCCTGGGAAGTAGTGCTTCCATTTCTCATGTCGACTGGAAATCACTGTCCCGTACTTTGCCATGTGGTTCATAACAGTGGCTTGTGGCCATGCCACAGAAAGGTCATGCACTCGAACGGTCACTGCTTCACAATCCACATATACCGGGATTTTGAACTCACTCTTCGCACAGAGAATCGCGTGTTTATAGTTGTGCGCCTTTTCATAGCGCAAGACAACTTTATTGTCTATCATCTCAATAAAAACACAATTTCGGACGTATTAGAAGCTTAATATTGTTCTTGAAGAATTTTTGCACTTTTACCGTATTGGGACGAACTGGAAGGAAACTAAAGTCAACAACGAGTGTGTTTTTACGAACTACACTCATTTTCGCTACAATATTTCACCAAGTTAAGCAGAGCAGAAAGAGCACACGTCCGATGAATACGAGTAATGGCTGTCGAATGATTTCCAAAATATTGACTTGCTCTATTTGCTTCATAGTTTCCATGAGTTTCCGTAACTCATTTTTTCCTTGTTTCAAGATCATCCTCGCTCCAGGCAACCCGAGGACTTATCACTATTAACAAAGCTTAAAAAGTAACAAGGACTAAGATGTGTTCTTTCGATTATTTAAAAATCATGTTCCCCTAGTTTGAAATAACCAGGACTAGGAATCGGTGGTAGATCTTACATCCCGTAGCATACCACAAAAAGGTGATCCACCCACGTTACGGGACATTACTTTTTTTTTATTTATTTTTTTTTTTTTTTTGTAGTGATCCAGTGGCAGCAACTTGCTAAAACTCTACACTGGACCCCTTTTATTGATAAATTTTGCTTCTATGAGCCTCTATTTTAAATCAACACACAGACGTTCCTAGGCTATGGTGCCCATTTGGTCACTGTTGTTTTTGTGCTGATCCAAATAGTTTTGATAATATAATTGCGCATTCTTTTTTTTTTATGTTGATTTTGTCCCAGTCTTGTCTTCTGTCGTCACTTATTTTGTCATTTTGTCTTGTGTATTAACCCCCACTTGTCTTGTTTATTGTGTCAACTTGTGTCTATTGTCCTTCCCCATCTGTTACTCTGTCATGACTAATTTCATTGATATATAAAAATAGTAATATCAATTACAGGATAATATGGTTATTTCTCGATTACTTTTTCAAAGGGAAGCACCAGCTCCTGCAAACAATGCATCCGATCGTCGATCGGGCGCAACCAGCAGCTCGCACACGCTTACCAACACCACTAGCAGGTAGAGGAAAATTTCCCCTATCTGATGATAGTGCCAGCATGCGTGGGCGAGCCACCAGTTACGCCAAATCGACGACCAAACGCACCGCCTACAAAAGCCAATACGCTCCCTTGAAAAAGTTATCGAGATTTCTACTAATTAATGAATTATTGACAATTACCTCTCATGATCCTTGGCTCTGATTTTAACTTACCACTTTTTGATTATTTATCAAATACCTCTCCCAGAATATATAACTCCCCGATGCTTTGTTGGTTTCTGGTCTCATTTGGATTGGTCCTGAATTTGTTTGACATCCTGTTCGAAGTAATTCTTTGAGTTCCAGCTTGTACGTGTCTCACGTCATATGATTCGCCATTCATAAAGATAATGGGTTAAAAGGGAGTAAAACATACATAAAGGTAGATTAGTATTAGTTGTACTTGATCCAAACAATAGAAAAAAGCATAGATGACTTAGTAGAAAAATAAAACTAATAAATAGCTAAAAGTGCAATGGATAAGTGTTAGTTCCGGGATCATTTTAGTGTTAGTAGTTATGTTAGTTTTGATCCGTATTCAGCCCTGCTGGCCCCTCAAGCATTATTTGCAGCAATTGTGATAAGATTATGCGACACTGCTACTACTACTATGTTAGATGTATGGCTTGTCAATTTTCGCAACGCAATGTCTTTCAATAAATCACTCAATCAATTTGATGTTTGAAAATTTGCTCAAAAGGGCTTTGTTGACACATCATACCTTACCGAAAACTAAAGCACAACAATCCTAATTCTTATTTCAAACCTATCAACATATTTAACACATCTTTCCTAAAATTTCACTTGTTCGTAAGCGCCTGGTTGAAGATATGACTTTCGCTATTGACATTGTCTGTAATTAACAAATACACTAAATAGGAAGATTTATTATACAACTTCATAGGCTAGTCGCCTCCCTAAGCGGACCCCCCGCGTCCTATCTCTTATGTTAATTAACTTTCTGAATTCTATAATTGAAGTTTATTTAATAAATAACTGAAATCTCTAATCTACCTACATAACCCATGCTTTTAAATTACAATTTAACGTGTTTCAAGTACTTCTGGCTTTTACATATCTTATCTTATATCTTTGTTCGTCCCAGATGACACCTTCAAGTGACTAAAATGCTTCACTTTGAAGTTAGTTTCCAAGCTAATTTTAAATTGTATATTGTATAGGGTAAATGTTCCAACTACGCTCTCACGTTTCCACTATGTGGCCCCACAAAAATACATATGGGTATGTCACAATAGAAGCACACCGCAGTGGAAATCCCGAGCCATAGTTCAAACACTTATCCCAAATCAAAATGAAGCACATATAAGATTAGTTACAATACCATGTACAAAAATGGTGTTTAACATTGTTTCCTGAGTAATAATTCAATGAAAACAACAATGAAAGCTTGTCACGCAAATAGAAGGAGCACTGTTGGGCACTTTCTGAAATATTTCAATAGTATAATTCCCTTGCAAACCCAAATAAATCTATCTGCGTAAAAAATAAATAAAATAAGAGTGATTTGCGGCAAAACCCGCCAGTATCACACCCAACGTCAGTGCCTATACGTAAGCGTACTACGACGCGGCTCTCAATAAAAGGAGTAACAAGTGTGATACTATCACTGCTAGACTAGATCTTTGGTTCTCTCATGCAGCGGTTTATCAGAGAGGGGAAGCTTAGTAATCCCCATCGCCTGCCCATGTCGCCATTCTATCGCGGCATGAGCCAGCAACGCCGACCATAAACCTACCGTCTCCAACACTCCACTATAAAGCATGAAATTAAGCCCGCCCACCAACAGCAAGGTGCAAAAACTAGCCAAGGGGAGGGACCCACGTTACGGGACATTACTTGCAGCTTTAAAAAATGCATCCTGCAGTTTTCGTCCGAAGAAAATTTTCCCACAATTAAGTTCCGAAAATTTTCAGTTGGTAGTTGGTAGTCTTATGAGCTAGTTTTCTTAATTTCCTAAATCACAAAAAACTACTTTGAATAATAATCAGCTTTATTTTTTCGCCTTCTCTTTGCCAGGTTACATCGATCATAAGCATGACGACGATATGTTGCGAATAGATATGGATGAAACGATCGTCCAAACGAAGCGTGTATCGATTGCTCCACCAAGATTCAGCATGGCGCCAATGCAAGCTGGTCCTAGTAGGAAATCAGTATTACCTTCCAAAGCGAATATGATTAAAATCAGCGAGGAAGAAACAGACGAATCGACAATTGTGGAGAAGAATGCACCCACTGATGATGATAAAGATGAAATAAAATACACCGGTGCTATTAAGAAATCGGACATTTACAAGAGACGTTCTTATGATTCACCAGACATTAAATCTGCACCACAGAAAAAGTTGTCGCTGGAAGATTTAGAGCCGGAAACGGTAAAAAATGAATCCATGGAAGATGAAGCAACGGCTTTTGCAGTGCCTTCTGCGAAACCCAAATCCAAACTTACGATACCGATCTTTTTGGATGAAGAAGAACCAACTGATAACAAAGACGCTAACAGCTATTATCCCAACGAGTCATGCTCCACGCAAATGTTCAACATGTTCGTTAAAAGTCAAAGTACTCCGCTCGCACTGAAAAACTCCGGTGCTATACGAAAGTCCGACGTACGAGGTCAGAATCTCTGCTTGGACGATCAGGAAGAGCAGGATGAAAATTTTGCTCAAATGCAGCCTGTTAAAATCAACGATGAAAATGCTGAGCCTGAATCAATTACACCATGCGCCTCGAACTCTACCCATGCACCGAAGCAATTGTCAACAATTATGGAGCGTACAGAAAATAGTACCATTTCCGGTACCGGCAGTACAAAATCCTCCGTTTCATCTCCTCCCTTAGGAGACATTATCTCACCCCTGCCAGCAGTATTAGATGATGAACGATCTGTCATAATTCAACACATGAAACAAGCCGCTAAGAATCTCTCCATTATGCTTATGGAAACAGCTTCGAGAAGTAAAACAGAAGAAGATATGGTATTCAAGGTTCCGGAATCGATAACCAATCCGACGACAACTAAATCCTCCGACACTCCATTCACCGTTCTCGAAGAAGAGCAGGGAGCTTTAGCAAAACCCGTCGCAGTTAGCCCCTTCGTTATTCACATTGATAGTACTGAAACGATGGCTAACGTACCTTTGGTTTCGAAAGTCGATTTGCCACCAAAAATTCCAGACGATAAGGAGAATAAACTATTGTTGGACGCCGAAACAAACCAGAACACACTCTTTCAGTTACAGGAAGAAGGCACGGTTACCGGAACAGGCAACTTGCTCCGTAAAAACATCTCCCATCTTCCTCAGCGTGAACCGGGCGTGAATTCTATAATGTCTTTCAAAATGACCACTGAACGAACCAATACGGTGCCACTTTTTTTGGTAAAACAGCCTGAAGCCCCACCAAAGCTCCCGGCCACGACAGCCAAAGCCGACGATTCTTTGTTCGAACTACTTGCTAGAACTCCATCCCCGAAGAGACCCATAACTAAAACCTCAAAGAGTCCATCGAAAAATGTTGATGAAAAGCCATCACAACGTAAGAATTCTTCGTTCTTCGATTTGGCAGACTTTCAAAAAACACCTGAACCGAAAATACCGCTCAAAAACGCATCTACGAAACAACAACCGGCCATCAGGCTGGAAACATCAACCCAACCACCCAAGCCGATTATTATTCAAAGCGTCATGGGAGCGATCAATCTAGCCGATTTCCCATCGCCACCGAAACGAACATCTACTGAAGATTTGAACACGGAAATCTTCTCCCTTCATATGAACAACATCAAAAATTCCACCTTACTTCCGGATCAGTTCACAGAATGCATGCCATCGGAGAAAACGGAAACTGAAATAAGCCCTGGAGTGAAGAAACCGCTGCTTAGTATCGATTTTGACATCAGCTACAATGAAATGGAGATAAAAAAAATGAATCTGGACGATAAGAAGATTGATGCTGATGGATTCACGGTACCAGCTCCGGTGTTCAAATCACCACCCATTATTGAATTGGATGACGGCGATAGCGATGACCTAGGTAAGAGTATCTATGTGCAGAAGCAAGCGAAGCCTGTCCAAACGGTCCAGAGATGGGACGAAATTGACGAGCATTTTAACCCAGCCAACAATCGGTACATGAAAAAAGAGGTTGATCTAGATGGAACGGTGCAGTTCATCTACCAGCAGACTCAAGCCTGTGAGGTTGACCCTTTTGATCCAAAGCTGCAGGTTGCGTTTTTGGAACAGCTAGACTTTATGAGCTACATCGAGGAACAGCCGACATGTTCGCTGGTGAACAAAGTTCAACCGCTATCAAGGAGTATGACCGTGGACATTCGTGGAACTAAGTTCATGATACACAAGAAGATCGGCGAAGGCACATACGGCACAGTCTACAGGTATGAGGTGAACTGTTGAATGAAAAATATATTCTTTATGAGTTACTAATTTGTTACAGCGCCAAGAATCTCACCTCTAATAAAATAGTAGCAATGAAGCAAGAACGACCTGCTAATTTGTGGGAATATTATGTGTGTCTGGAACTGAGGAGTCGTATAATCAATGAAGATATTGTGAGTACAGAAACAGATATTAACATTAGCTGTAAGCTGTTGGCATTGAATATTTTAGCTCAGCGGTTCTAAAATTTTACCTTAACAAATTACCTTAAAAAACTAAAAAAATGAAAAAAAAAAAATAACGTTGAAGGGTATGTGTCTAGGGGCACGAACGAAAGCTTGACGTAGGACCGCTAGTGGGCGGAACAAATATGTTGATCATTTAGTTTTACCTCGTTACGTTTTGAATTGAAAAGGGTCGGTTGTTTTTCATATGGTGGCCACACCAGTGCAAGTCGATGCCGACCGGATGACGGCGGCCTAGTCATGCTTCCTATTGCGGGAAGCCTTTCCTCCGGTAGATGTGGGTGCTTTGGTCGTCGTCTCAGTGATGCCACATATACAGCTTTATCTGTAATAATACAGATTTTTCTCAACATTTTGATACAGATATCTGTATATACAGATTACAGATTTTTTACATATATAGATTTTTCAGATTTTTGAAATAAGTGGAATATATGTTTAACTCTGGAATGTATTTAGTAATATCCATAAATAATCCTTTCTTCCTTTTGAGTTGGTACAAGCACCTGACCATCCAAGGCGCCGGTGGTGTAGTGGTAAGCGTGATTACCTCTCACCCCAGCAGGCCTGGGTTCAATCCCAGTCGGCGCCGCCGAGATGTTCTGAGGCATTAAATCTCTGATCACGCCTTCCTTCGGATGGGAAGTAAAGCCGTTGGTCCCCGGTTCATGAGTTGATGGGTCGATAGGTAGGGTGCAGGTGTGGGAGAGCTGCCTTCCTTGGCACGTCGGTGGCATTGGTGCTCAGCACGGAAAACAAGATCGACGGAAAAAACAAACCAAAGGAAAAAAAAAAGGACCTGACCAAATCCCAATTTTTTCACTTTTTATTTTATTATCTACGTTAATTTTGAACGGACTTCTGATGCTCAGATGTTCTTATTTCTGATTGCTTTTCATTCCTATTGTTTAATTAACCATATCACATGGTGACAGATACTGTGAATTTTTTTTATTTGTCGAATCGGTAAACAAGCCCTTTTAACAACCCACAAGCTGATTGATTACAGTTTGTGAGTCGAACCGTCAACTGGATATTTTGACATTTGACTAGCGTAATATCAGAAATAAAGAATATTCTATGCAGTTCTACTAAAAATCTAAATAAAAGTTATGTGTTGTGACAAAATACAATAAAGTTGATAAAACATATGAACACGATTGCAAATAAAGAAATACAGATGAAACTATCCCAAAGTTTTTCACAAAAAAATACTGAGTACACTTAGGTATATATAGTTGGTTCGAGCAACAGCCAGCGAATTCAATGTCCTTTTAATCTGCCAAATGATTAGATAAAGTTGAAATTTGTTTTGATTAGAAGAATTTCAGAAAATGAAACATCGAACATAAATTTTACAACTAATACTTCATAAAATGTTAATGCTTATTTCTCATTTTCTAAAATTGTTGAGCAAAAAAAAAAACAAATGACCTGACAAATATTTTCGCAATCTCGGATCTAAAAAAATCAAGTTTTACGAAAATATTTTTGATTCTTCGTTAAATTTTTTTCCGTTTTGTGTCTCATTACTGTGACTTGATTTTTTGTATATTTAGTCTTTTAAAAAAGATACAAATCACTCACAAAAAATCAAGATTCAGGATTTCGACAAAATAGATTTATTCTTTAGAAAGCAAATTTAAGTCATTCTTCAAAATTCTAAACTATGAACAAACTATTTCTGAACTTCAAATTAACTCAAAGTATATTTCCGACGTTCCGCAATAAGATCATACTATATGTAGAATTTATACAGATTATTTTACAGATTTTTGTCAGCCAGAAACAGATTGAAAAGATTTTACGGTGAAAATACAGATTAAAAATAGAAATAATGTGGCGTCGTCTTTGTATTAGTGCGATAAGTACGTTCCACTCATACGTCGTGTCCGACGCTTATCCGTCCGTTGCTCGAAAGCAAATGACGAAGAAAACGATTGGGCAAGCGTTTTTATTGGCGCTGTTTTTCTCCTCCTTTCCTTTCATTGGTGAAATGGTGAGCGATTAACCGAGCATTGAGCTCGCTCATGTGAGCATGCGCAATGTGGCGTTTGTTCGATTTGCGCTCTATCGTTGCGTCCGTGTTTGGGATTTTTCGTTACATGTCTGAATTTTGATTTTTTTATGTGACTCCCAGTATAGAAATTAAAGACTTAGTCCTATGTCAAAAAATCCTTAACACTGCATAATTACCTGAGATCCATAAATAAAATAGAATTAAAGCATCCAAACTGAAGTATTTGGCCAAAACACTAAATAAGCACACACAAAAAAATCACATGTTCTAAAACTTAAAAACGGCGCTAAAATGTCAACCAGTCCAAAACAGGGCCAAAAATGTACAAAAATGGTATTTAAACACTTGATGGGTAATTGAAACTTGCCATGAGTTGCCATGAAACAACAAAGAAGTATTAAAAACAAAGGTTCTGAACACTCTCAAAATAGTATTAAAAATGCCAAAATACCATCAAAAGCTTAGCGTAGCTAGGTTGCTATTCCGTGATTGATCAGAATCAATTAAATTAGGCAATGAATCAACTGAAAGAGGCTGGTAGCTACCGTCCATTCTCATTGTACAAGTTTCAGGTAGGACTAGGGTAGGAATATTAGAGTGAACTGAGTTGTTTTGGAGACCGTGTTTACCTCTGCGTCCCTACAAAGGGGAGATTTTGTTAGTAGGTTGGGTTCGTTGGATCATGATTCACCTTGATAAGTGATGCTATCGTAGTTTTGATGTAATGAATTGTTTTTCAAAATTCAAACGAACACAATTTATGATCTTTTGATGCGAATGATGCAAACTTATCAACTCAGTATTGCAAAGGAGCCTGAAATAAAACCCACGATCTTCTGTTCAGTAAGCAAAATCGGTCGCCACTAGGCCACTGAGTCCCTTTGATTGTGTCACGTTTGGCATAAGAGAACAGACATAATATTGTGAATATTATTGGTTGTAAAGCATCGTTCATAAAATACTATCGCCATCTGTTGACCGCACTGTGGAGGGCACTGTGCTCAACAGATGGCGATATTGTGCAAACGTCAAACTCCAAAGCAGATGAATAGGAGCGCCTCCAGTGGGTACACTACCAACTAACAATAATTTAAATCAACCGTTAAATGTGTAAACGATCAACAGAATATGAAGTGCTATGTCTGTTTGTCTGTGATAATAGGTTAACATATTAACATACATATTGACTCACAAAACCAAGAACAATAAAACTCGAATGCCAAGTCATTATCTCTACCCTAAATATCATGCTAGCTCTAATTCTTTATTTCCTGCATTTTATTCTTTTCGTTCTCCAGTTACCAGGGCTGATGAGCGTGGACTACGCAATCGTGGGGAACAATGCCAGCATTCTAGTGTCACCATTCTCGCGGTACGGCAATATTCTGGATGTTTGTAACGTGGTAAAACGGGTGACCAACAAAAATGTTGACGAGTTTATCGCGATGGTCATCACCAGCCAGATACTTTCGATCATAGACCACCTGCACAGCTGTATGATCATCCACGCTGATATCAAACCTGACAATTTTCTGCTAATGTCTCCGTATGTTTTATACTTTCTGCTTTAGATAGTGATGTTAATCTTGTTATTTTTCGTCCTGTAGTATTGATTTAGATGCAACGATACCGTGTGTGCAGTTGATTGATTTCGGTGTTTCTATTGATCTCAAACTCTTCCCAAAAGAAACAACGTTTAAAAAGGTAAGAAGAAGAATAGTCTTAACCAGAAAGTGTTGTCTTACGTTAGCTTCATATCCCTAAGGTTGTAACGACGGAATGTTTCACCTGCATTGAAATGCTCGAGAAGAGGCCGTGGACTTATCAGCCTGATTTGTACGGTGTTGCTGGAACAACACATGTCATGCTATTCGGAATGTACATGGAAGTTCAGAAGGATATTGTCAACTGGAACATCAAAGCACGAATGCCACGGTATTTCCGGAAATCTGTCTGGGACAACTACTTCTCGTCAATGTTGAATATTCGCGACTGTAACGAAATGCCCAATCTTCAAGCCTTAAGAAATAATCTACTGGTGGAGATCGAAGAAAACAAAAAGTATATTCGTGACAAAGTGAGTGAATTCAACCTAGCGATACTGTCCGGGTGAGCATGTAGTTGTGACCTCAAGGTGGGGTTTCAACTTTTAGTAGTATATTATGTATAGAATGGGAAAGCATTATATCCTATCAAAAATGGTTTCATTGATTGTATGCTAGGACTTAAAAGAACCAGCCTTTCCAATAAGTTTGAATACCACATGACGCAAATGTCCATACCCTTTATTTATATGTTGATTCAAAGTGGTTTTGATAGACACACTCAACCAAATGGGCCTACTGAAGTCCAGTAATGTATTGTATTCTATGTACCTTACCTTTACTACAGGTACTCGTATATTAGTCCCATTTGGAAAATCGTCATATTGAGAAAATGACAAGTAAAGATATTTGTATAATTTGCTGTTTGCTACTGTAAGGTCGTCATCCACCGGTCACTATATTATTATTGAGTCTACGATAATACTCGGAACACTGTTCACCGGAAATCAATTTCCCGTTCGACCACTTATAATAATTAACCGGAAATCATAATTTTGCGGGTTTGAAAAAATACCGGTTTGTTAGTGGTAGTAACACGGTGCACGTATGTCACATAGAAATACTTAATCAACAGTCTTGCACATTTATAAAACCAACCCTGAACCGTGTTTGTCATGAAAATTTAAAAATAAGATCAATATGAATCAATACGTACCCAGTGCCACATTGGCAAAGCTCAAAATACATTAAATAGATACACCGAAAATAGTTTTCATGTAGCTTCCATTGGAAACGCAAATGATTTTCATCCATAAACAAAATTAATGGAATTCATCTGAATTTCACATAACATTTATGCGATCACGTTAATTTTATATGATTTTTCATATGAATTTCATCGGCCTCATAATATTCATGTGATTTTGTGGTGGGATTTTTAGCTATGTGATCACATGAAAGCTATGTGAAATTCACATGGTTTTCATCCATTAGACATGTGATAAATTTTTTGAGTGTAGACTGTATAACCACAGACAAACAGACGTAACTCTTTCTCCGCAATCGTCGTACACGCATTGATCGTTTGATCGTACTTGTTCGCTAACTGGGCGATCTTTAACTGGGCTGCTTTTTAACTGGGCGTTCGTTAACTTGGCTGTAGCCCAGTTAAAAAAAAACAGTTATACGTCAAAAATAGTCGTCACATTTAGTTATCATAATTGGTGAGGGGCATTCGAATGGAATATTAAGTGATAATGTAAATAAATTTGAAATTATTTTCATTTCACACTGAAATCACGACTTAAAAGCGTTATGAGCAAAGCATTAAGCCTTTCTAAACTAGCAAGATTGAATGCTGTGAAAATAATAATGAAAAACTTTACACTGTATCAATTCAATGCACATGAATTTTTATTAACGTCGATCAAACAATCCATTGAAGCTCCCCTCAGTGTTTTTTGACGTTTGACAAGTCAGCCCAGTTAACGAGTGGAATTCGCTCACTGGCCTGTTCGGGACATAAATCCACTGCGACCAGTTATTTGATCTATTGTGGTATACCCCGTGTCCTTTGTTTAGTGCATGTCGTATTACTCCATCACTACCCATAATCGCATAATAGTCCCATATGAATAGGAAATCAAGCAACGGTGGGACTGATATGCGATTATGGGCAGATCACTATTGAGAAATGAAGAAGTAATCGGTTTTGATACAGTTGTCATTCTTGCCTTTATCGCAAGGATCCGACATTAATTGTAAAGTCCCGCTCTTTATACCCTTTGGAGTGTTGGAACACCCTCCAAAGGCGCGCCCTTTTGCAGTCAAAAACGGATTCCTTAGCAACAAAATCAAGCAATAACACCGATCATCGGTCATGCATGGATGGTCATGCATCAGAATCCTAGTCTTAACCACTTCAAACTAGAGAACAGCGAATAAAAGATTAGGAATCACGTAGATGAAAAATAACTACCTAGCTCTTTTTTCCTTGTTTCAAGATCATCCTCGGTGGACAAAGCCGAGTCTTTTCACTTTCAACAAGACATACAAAGTAAAAAAGACTAAGATGTGTTCCATTGATTACAAAATAATTCTGTTTCCCTAGTTTGAAGTAGTTCGAACCAGGCTTCGGTGGTAGACCTTATTGCCAGTAACGCACGAAAAGGTAATCTACCAAGCGCTACACGGAGAACAAATTCGTTAAGTTAAGATAACAATCCTAATAGTTACTTTCACATGGAAAAATATTGTTGTTTTAAAGAAACCTATAGTTATTTCAACATTAATTCGACCGTCAACTCAATCATATCTACCTAATAGATTCAACTGTTCATCTTATACTCAATTCAACTATAACTTTGATCAATTATAACAACCGCCAAATGTAATTTATTTATATACTTTGGTTTCAAGTGATCATCATAAATCCACACACTTTTAACTTGTGATGCGTAGAACAGGCGATATGATAGCTGGCTCTCACGCAGATGAACACGGTTCAAATCTAAGTTAAATGTTCTTGGTCACTTTTTTATGATTTTGCAGTTATGTTTTTGAGATCGATAAAGAAGCAAAACAAACTTCCTTAAACATTGTAAAATGTTGCTTTCCTAACAATAGTTTTCTTGAATCAACTAAAGCATAGTTGTATTTTGGAGTTTGACGTTTGTTCATCTACTGAAAAATATAGTTGAGCCAACCGAGGAGCCAACTATGGACTATAGTTGTTGCCCTCTATATATAGTCAAATCAACTATAGTTTCGGGTTATCTCTAAAACAATTGAACAATATAGTTATTTTGACCGGAAAAATAATTGTGTCTGCTATAATTTGTTCTCCGTGTAGCCCAGTTAGCGAACAAGTACTGTATTGTTAGTTGCGCGAATCCTCCACCACAGTATCGGATCACTTTGACGTTTCTATACATTCTTTCGAACTTGTATGCAATATTGTTTGAGACTTGGCAAGCAAGATTTTTTCCGCGAATAGCTCGCGAGATGTCGTTAGTGAGTTGAACGACGATATATTTAAGGAACACTTATTTAAAGAGTTTCGTCTGTTTGTCTGTGGTATTATAATTATTCTGTGATACTACCCCGAACGCCATAACCCCGAACGCCATAACCCCGAACGCCATAACCCCGAACGCCATAACCCCAAACGCCATAACCCCGAACGCCATAACCCCGAACGGTACACTACCCCGAACGATACACTACCCCGAACGCCGTTACCCCGAATAGTACACTACCCCGAATGGCCACTACCCCGAAATTAAGACAAATGGAAGAACAGCAAGGGATCAAAAGAAGTGTAAATTTTTGAGAAGGAAATTTCCTTTTCTAATTTATACTGATTACAAATGATAGGATTCTATAACATTCCCCAAAAAACCATTCCGCAGAAAACCATTCCCCAGAATCTCATTCCCCAGAATGCACCATTCCCCAGAAAACCATTCCCCAGAAAACCATTCCCCAGAAAACCATTCCCCAGAAAAGCATTTCCCAGAATGAACCATTCCCCAGAAAAGTATGCCATGTACACTGGAGTCGCTTTTTACGCGGGTGATACGTCCCGCGTAAAAAAAAACCGCGTAAATTCCGGAATCCGCGTAAAAAAAAACCGCGTAAAAAAAAACCGAGTAAAAAAAGACCGTGTAAGAATAAAACGCGTAAAAAGCAATATACCGCGTAAATTCTGAAATCCGCGTAAAAAAAAACCAAAATCCGCGTAAAAAAAAACCGCGTAAATTCCGGAATCCGCGTAAAAAAAAACCGCGTAAATTCCGAAATCCGCGTAAAAAAAAACCGTGTAAAAAAAAACCGCGTAAAAAGCGACTCCAGTGTATTAGATTGACTATTTTTGTTTATTATAGTCACTCCTGGAATCTTCTTTCGCGTATATAAAAAGAAAAGAAAAACTTCTTAGGGTCTGTTCATAAACTACGTAGACAGTTTGGGGGGGGTTGGCAATTGTGCACGGTCCATACCAATTTTAAAAATTTTGTATTGAAAATTATCTACGCAGGGGGAAGGGGGGAGGGGGTCAAGAATCCAAAAAAAAAAACTGTCTACGTAGTTAATGAACAGCCCCTCAATGGCTCAAGGGGGTTTCCCATCTTTGAAAATATAACAATAGGAAATAATTTATTCTTTGGATATACGATAAAGAAGGGAATATTCCCTTCTTTTAATATACAAAAGAGAACATAATCAATTCGTTAAATATATGATAAAGAATATATAAGGAAAATATGTAATCAATAGCTTTTGGCAAGGGATTCGGGGTAATGACCATTTGGGATAATAACGTGTGGAATAATGTTATAAATTTGTAATCGATAGTTCAACGTTCCATACACCGATTTTTCAATCCGTAACGAGAAATTCTTCAACTCAGGTCGAACAATTCTTTGATAAGGTTTAACAGTTTCCGACTGGTTGAATTGGATTGCATATTAGACCCTTTGACTTTTTAAATGGTGAACGAAGTGCTCGAAAAATTGAAGGTTGTCATTTTCTAAAGAGCTTTAAAATGGTTTGGAATTGATAAATACATAGTTCCATAAAAGTAAACTTAGTGTATCATCAATTTAGTAAAGTGAAACTAATCAGAGAGTTTAATCATGAAAAATATATTAAATCAAATGTGTAAAATTTATCGAGAAAATTTGTATTCAGAAGATGTATTTATCAGTGTGCAAGATACTTGCGGACCTGTATATTTATGGACGCCTTACATTAGAAAAATCATTGTGCCTAAAACTCTGAAATATTCGGAAAGGATTAAGCTTACTACGTTTTTCTACGTCAATGGATGGAGAGATCCATATTCTGGGCCTTGCATTGGCGCTTTGTAATAAATAAAATATGTATATTAAGCTGTTCTGTAATATATAAAACTGAAATATAATATCAAATGACCAAAAAAAAAGTGATAAATTACTAATTTCATCATCTTTTCTGGGGAATGATAAACTCTGGGGAATGCTTTTTTGGGGAATGGTACATTCTGGGGAAAGCTTTTCAGAGAAAAGGTGCATTCTGGGGAATGGTTTTCTGGGGAATGTTATAGAATCAATGATAGTTTTTTATTGGAATTTAGAAACACTTAATTTGCTGTTCGCTGTTCACAATCTGAAGCCTTTCTGCTCTTACAACTGAGCCGCCTCGTTGAATCGCATTCACAAAAAACGAAGCCATCTTGTCATTAAATCATCGTTAAACACTCAAACAAACATAAAAATAAAGCTGCCCAAATTTTAAGTTTTTTTTTTTTAATTTTCATTACGAAAATCGAATGGCTATTAAGTAGCTTCCGTTATATTTTATTTCGAAGATGCATAATAATAATAATTCTAACTTTATTTTAAAAATGTAATATAATTTATTAAAAACAAATTAACAAATTAACAAAAGGCCGAAAAAACTCGTAGTTTTTTCGGCTTTTTGTGTTTTTGGCCTTTCGTGATTCGGCCTTTTGTGATTGCGTAGTAATCACACAATAATGCGCTATGCGTAGGGAAAAGTTCGCGAATCATAGTGAACTCTTGCTTCACTGATTTACATGAATCAATTTTAAAAATGCTCTTATATGTACCTAGACAAAATAAATATATTAGCAAATTAAGTGCTTCTAAATTCCAATAAAAAATTATCATTTGTATTCAGTATACCTAAGTTCCAAAACGAAATTTCCTTCTAAAAAATGTACCCTTCTTTTGATCCCTTGCTGTTCTTCCATTTGTCTTAATTTCGGGGTAATGGCCATTCGGGGTACTAGGGCATTCGGAGTAATTTTGAACTAATGTTCCTGGCTGAAATATTCCATGGAGTGCAACATAACAAGCCAAAGTGAATATTACAATTCCAACGTTTCAGCTGGTTACTGGGGTCAGTAAGCAACTGTCCAGTCGCGTCTTTCATAGGCATCTTTGGATTCATCCTTGCTCCAATCAGACGTCGTGATATATCGCTGAGGAGGTGGATATAGCCGGTTGTTGCTGCATCTCTCCTTCGTCGATCAGGGAGTCCACCCACACTCGCTTGTCCCGTCTGCAATTACCGTTTACTTCCTTCTCTATATAGAGCCGACTACCGTTGACAGGCTTCGTTGTTGGTTCCTCTGGTTCCCACCCAATCTCTATCGCGGTTTTTGCTTCGCTAAGCTCCACAATATTATGCCAGGTTTAATCCATGATCCACTCTTTCCGCTCATCTAATGTAATATTCAAAATATACAATATAATTTCTATAATGATTTTATGTGTCGCACTCATTGGTCTGAAATGATTTACAGGGAACAACTTTTTCATACAAGCGACCATATGAAAAACGATTAATTTCGACTTCCCCAAAGATGCCCTTGAATCAGATCCTGGAAGGTTTACTACATTAGCGTCATATTATATTGGCATCGTAATAATATTCAATTGGATTTGCTGTGGAAATTTAACGTGTCACACTCAACCCAAGTAGCACATTTCCATCTCGAAAAGTATAAGCAGCCTGTTTATGACTGATATAAGTCGAATAGAAGTTGTCACGAACGATTCGTACTAGGGATGGAGTTTTTTAGTCATAACCATAAGTCCAAAATGACTTCTGGAAAACTCTGGAACAGATCCCGGAAGATGCAAGTGTTTGATTGGAATTGTAATATTTATTTGACTTTCCTGTAGTGGGTTGGAGTGCCACACTGTATGGAATATTTTAGCAAAATCATGATACCATCATTATTTTTTCTAGTTCTCCTACACTCAACAGATTGTGAAATCTAAATAGATTAAAAGTTACGCTAAATCGCAACTCTCCTGACCGACGTATAGTTTGGAATAAAGAGAGAGTATTCACACTTAGTATTGATGAATTTAAGTGACGGTAGACCATGGTCTGCAGATGGAAATGATGTGAAAAATGGTAATGACGTTTTGCTACCTGTCAAATCGTAGACTCAAAAAATTTGTCACATAAATTTCACTTGAAAAAAACACGTAACCTATAGATATTATAAATTATGACGTTAATAAAATTCATCACAAGTCATACTAAAAGCAATGTGATAAGCTTTGAAACTTAGATGAAATGTATATAAATTTCACGTGAATTTCATGTAAGATCATTTCACTAGATTTGCAACTACCATTGGATTTGTTGTATTTTCTGACAAGTAAGTTGTTCTATTTTCGTCATCATACACCATTTACTAATCATATATTTTTGTAGAACGAGGAATCGATGAGTTTGATTTGCTTACCATCTCACCCGAAAGATTGGCAGAGGAAGTGCAGCTGGTTGGGGGTGGCTGGAATACGCAAGAAATTTCTACCTGGAGAGCTTCCCTGTTGCATTACATTGGATTGACAATAAGCTTAAACGAGTAAATATATAGGGGAAAAGTTGGCTTCGGCAATACCTAAACCTATTATCGTCAGGGGGTAAACAACGTCCTTGAGAGCTCAATTTCGGCATGTGGATACATTCCCTAATAAAAAAATACCATAAACGAACGATAACCCAAATTGTCGAACTTTTCCACAAATGGCTTGGATGATACTCCAAACACGTCGTTAAGCAAAATAACCATACAAATTTTATTAGGGTTGTGTTTCAGAGCAACTACTTTTCCCCTATTAAGAAACCATCTGCATTAAGCTGAACAATAATATAAATAAACCAATATCTATCCAGTTACTTTTAATATTCCAAAAAATCATTTTAGAATGCCTAACAACAGTTTGGATGCTACGGATTGCTACTAAAATTTAAGGTGTTTCCTTGTAGAGTCCATTTTTCCAACACATCTCACATTTTAAAGAGCACACAACTCAAGATCTACGAGGTTTACACATCTGCAAAATTCAGACATTGCTTGCTTCTCCGCAGTAAACAACAAGTAGTTGTTTCAGCTACGTGCATTCACAGAAACCTTATTATTTTTACATGTGAAATTGCGAAGTGTAACACGAAAAAGGACGCTACAGGGAATCACCTTAAGTGAAAGTGTAATAAAATTCACTTAGAAAGTTCTATAAAATTTACGTTGCTTTCTAGTGGATTGGGGAGAGATCTTTTCACTTTGAGCAATTTTCACTTAGATGTTACATGAAAATAAAGAGAAATTTGCTTCAAAAGCCTATACTACATATAACAGTTTTAAATGGATAGAAATTAAAACTTTCGAACCGATCTACATATGAAAAACCGTAAACGACGCGAAAAAATATTAGAAAATAAAACAATTTCTGACTCGTTTGACATGACGAAACTTTGCTATTTTTATATACACTGGACGAATTCCATGCCGTTATTTGGACTTAGTATAATTTTGAAAAAAAAAACTTATCTCTCCAATGTGTAAAAAGTGTTTAACTATAAAATGATTAAATTTAAATCTATGTTTACTAATATTTTTGAGTGTATTTGCCATAAGTGACGCTTTATGTTATCGTAAGATCGCCAATAAAATATAAATAAACCTGTAACTGTCAGTCGTATATGAACCGGCAACGCGTTCAGTATTTCCAACAAAGTGTATCGAAATTGAGATCTCAGGTTTTTGTGTGTGATAATATTGATTCTCGAGAGATTTTTAATTGTAAGTATTGGTATTCGAATATTTGTAAGTGACAATAATGCAGTATTTTTCTTTTAATTAAATTAGTACAAGCTAGATTTTACTCGTTGATCAGTACAGCAATAATCAGCAGGCAAATAAAGCTTGAAGTTGAAATCCAAAAATAAGATAGGTGTCATATTATATTTTATTGGATGGTGTAGTGAGGATGGTACAGTTGCGTTGATACTACGATTAACACTATTGTAAGATTGTTTACACGAAAAAGGATACCAAAAGGGAAACAAAATGCTTGATCACAATTACTTTCACGCTACAATAAACATGTTTTGGCTAAATGCAAGGTATCGTCAAAAATTGCATATGCTTTCAGCGTAGGAGGATATTCAATGCATGTATCTTTGTTTCGGTACTATTTTTTAAGTTTTGTTCGTAGCGGATCTCGCATAAACAAAATAATCGCATGAGTGCATATAAACAAACTATTTATATAATGATCAACAACAGCAGTCTTTTCTAGGACAACATGATATCATCCAAAGGGTGCATTCTGAGACGACTGGCAGTATTCGATTTCGATCACACTATTAGCGAATACAACACAGATATTGTCGTGCGGGATCTTTTGGATCAAAGTTTGATTTCACCGGAAATCAAGAGCATAGTACGTAGTTGTGGTTGGATCCCATTTATGCAGCGAATATTCCGTCTATTGAATCAAAATGGTTTCACGCCTTCTGATATTAAATCAGCTATTCGTGCTATCCCTGAAGTACCTGGATTAAAATCGTGCATCAAAGAAATGGCTGCGAATAATTTTCATATTATCATCATAAGCGATTCTAACTCCGAATTCATCAAGGCCTGGAACGATTTTAATGACATCGAGAAATATATACACACTACATTTACAAACCCGGCTAAATTCAACAGCAACGGCTTACTGGAAGTGCATTCCTTCCACAATCAAACTGAATGCAGTCTAAGCTCAAAGAACCTCTGTAAAGGAAAAATTTTAGAGGATTTTTTAGAGAAACAATTTAACGAAGCCAACACGGAGTATGATAAAGTCTTCTATATAGGAGATGGTAAAAACGATGTATGTCCAATGCTGCGACTGACTGAGAATGGATATGCCTGCCCACGTGATGGGTATAGTTGCTATGATGAACTGAACGCTGCCATTGCCAAACGATCAGAGAAATATGATGCGAAAATTTTACGATGGAGGAATGGAAGTCACCTAGCAAATCTTATTTGGAGGGAGCTATGAAGTCATTTAGCTGAGTACCATGAGCTATCAGCAAAGTATGCATTTGTACTTTGGTCTGGAGCGTTGAATGTCCTTTACTGTATTTGTATTGTAATAAAAATGCTATCTACACATTTCGCCTCCTATTATAGCTGTTTGTAGAGAAAGCCATGTCCTTACCATTAGCACAGGATAGAAAGTTTTAACCGCTGGATATACACCATTAATCACGGTTTTCATGTTCGGTAGTTTTGTAACTGTAAATGACAAAAATTACCGATCATTCAGCTATTCTCAATAAAACTACTGATGGTCAGCAGCTTTCGCGAACAAACTACTGAATACGGTATTAGCAAGTTCTAAATTTACCGTATAATAACAACTTTACAATGAATGAAAAAACTCAATAAAATAGAGTACCGAGTTTTCAGTATTCATTATTCATTATATTCATTACTGAACAGTAATCAAACAAAATCCCAGAACTGCTGATAACACCAGTAAATCAAATTACTAGCGTCATTTTCCTATACGTTACACCTCGCGCACTTGACGACAAACATTTCTGTGTGAAAAGAGCAAACTATTGTGAAAATTATTAAAACAGGGCAGTTTCTGCATTTCTGATGCCATGAGTCCTTTTTTGCAATATAAGGCTGATATAGAGGTTTACATTTTTACATTAGGGAAGGTCCATTAATTATGTCACGCAAATTTGGCCCCAAACCCTCTGCTCCCTCTATCACATTTTTTGTATGGACATTATTTTTTTTTGTATTGCTCGTCACAGCTTCCAAAATCCCTCCTCTCCCTAAAAGTGTGACATAATTAATGGACAATCCCTTAGTCATATATATTAGTATTATATCAATGACGTTTATGTAAGGTCTGGGACAAAGGGCTTATTGGTGTTAGTGAAATGTGCAAATGGTTAGTGGTGTTCGTATTATATTGCAATGTTTATCTTTTTACACGAAACAGCTGTTGGCAGTGACGTATTTCTATCTGTTCTCAGTATGTCGGCAGTGACGTACACTCAGGTCTTTTTTTACACGGGGGATACGGTCCGTGTAAAAAAAACCGTGTAAAAAAAAACCTACGAGATTTTGATTTTTCGCATGCTTAAATGTTTTTAAAAAATCGGATTTTGATGCCATTGTATGTATGTATGTAAGGTAGCCACCATCCCTTCGAAGATCTTGTCTTGTATGCAGCTCCACTTAATAGCAAGATCAATTTGAGCTACCGATCTGAATTCACAATATCGCTGTATGAAGGGCCAAAAACGGTGGGGTGGACCCGTAAGCAGAGACACTTACGCGAAATCCACGGGAATTTAAGAATCTCCTTCCAACGATACGATCCAACAAATCGAATAACGCAATTCGCAATACTTATTAAGCTTCCTACAGGATGGTTTGTTAAGAAGGGCGCGTCAATCTCACTGAAACTGTTGGAGTAGAATTCACACCATCACAATCGAATCGGTAGGATAAAGAAAATGATAGTGTTTATTCCCTCCTAGACTCCGGTTGTCATACCACTCCAATCGTCCAGTTTCAGGTCAAATGATACCCTGATGCTCCCTCCCAACCCAGTATTTATTTATATATATAGTAAACATATGTAATGGAGAAATGAAATATATCAGAACATTAAAATACGTAATAATGAAAATACATTTATATGGATAAAAAAACTGGTATTCCGCAATGAAAATAATAATTATTTTACATACAATATGATGCAGCTCTATGTCTCCTCAGCTCCCAATAAGGAAGATGTAACCCTGAAATTTCCAACAAAAGACACAGAAAAGGAGATTTTGTTAGTAAGTTGGGTTCGTTGGATCAGGATTCACCTTGATAAGTGATGCGACCATGGTGTTAAATTAATCAGTGTTATCATGCATTATACTTGGATTTGCCCGAAGCCAAAACCAAATGGTGTATCATTGGGCCTTATTACGGGTGTCACTACACGGTGATAAGAAAGTGATACTCAGAATAAGAGCCTTTGATTACCGTACAAATCAAATGGGAATCACTTCACCGTGACGACAAGTGACAACTTTTCACCGTGATGTGACATCCGTAATAAGCCCCCTTATAATATAAATCTGAAGACGTTCCATCATCGAAATGCTGAAAATGAACTTAGAGCATGAGCATGAGCAAAATTGATCGCCCGCGACTGCCAACACAAAAGAGCTGAAAACCAATTCAAACAAATCAAATCAACAGACAAAACCAGGGTGAAAACTGTAAGAGTGAATCATCACAGTATAAATCTAGTGATGTTCCGTCATCAAAGAGCTGGAAGAAAACTCAAATAATTTAAATCAATAGATCCAGTCTGAATGAAGGCTGCAAAAAGAGAATAATTATACAGCAATGACCCCATTTTGTCAGCTAGCAAAGTATGTGTATCTTAAACATTCATCTTGAAGGAGGAAGGTATGAAATTACAATTATGTGGAATTATTGAAAAATAACAGTCTGATGCGCGGAGAGATTGACAGGATCGGGTCATATAATGTGAATATTAGGAAGATTTATCATCATCAAACTATTCTTGAATTGACCTGGAAGAATGCTTGTGAATAATTGTTATACAGATATATTAAATTGATAAACTAAATGGTTCAAACAACAACTCCAGCCTGTAAAAAAGCTGAAAATAGGGAATCTTTACAATGTGGATCCCCGACGGTCTTCTACTCAGTAAGCAAAAGCGGCAGCCACCAGGCTAGTCGATCTGCTCAATTTAAATATTGAAACCTTATTTTATGAAGTTCTTAAGAATACCAATTGAAACACAATGTAAACAAATAAAAGTTAAGAGTCTCATCCGAATCAAATGATTCCAAACGATACGCATTCATAGAAATTAAGTTTAAATAGACACAAGTAGAAAAATGGAACAATCTCACCAAATCAGTCCAACTGAATCCCTTGCAAGCAGCTATGTCACGCTTGGTGTAGTAGCTCCGATCATAGACCCGCCCTACGGGGATCAATCCTCTGGTCGAATGTAGTCGATTGCTCCATGACGCGAACACGAAGCGACCGCTCACAAAATCATACAACGCGTAAACAAACTGAAATCAAAAACTATCACACGCGACGCCACAAATTTCTGTACCGGGAGCACAAGCGAAGAAAAAAAAACAAACAACGCAGATAGCGACACTTCTTCTGATGCCTGCAAACATGATGCATCACGTTTTCTTTTTCGATTCCAAAACTTCTCGGAAAGCGAGAAAACCACCAATCACACACGTATAACCGTCCGGGAGGCAGAGTGCCAGCGCTAATCTGGCAAAATCAGCGAACGCACGCACAAAACAGAAATAAACTTATACACAACCGTATCCGAACAGGTTCGAAGCTGAACTGAAATCGGATTTTGATGCCATTTGTAATTAAAGCATGATATGGTCCATATAGACATATTTTAAAAATTTCTGTATTTACACCAAAAATTGTGATTTTTTTTTTTTAAGTATGCCATTCGATTACAAATAGCTTGAAACGGATAATGTGATTGGAATCAAGTCGATAGGTTGTATCGTTGTCGAGAAATCGTTAAAAACGTACCGTGTAAATCGTGGAAAACCGTGTAAAAAATCCGTGTAAAAAAAACCGCGTAAAAAAAACCGTGTAAAAAAAGACTTCAGTGTGTATCTATCTGTTCGCAGATGTTCAGCAATGTTTACAACATTTTTGCTTCTAACACCAGCAAGCTGCCTGCTGGCCCAGACCTTATATAAATGTCATTGGTATTATATTGCACTTTTTGCATTATAGTACGTTCAGACTACAGAGTTATAACATGTTATAGCGCTATCTTGATGGTGGTTTCTGTGTTGCAATTATTTAACAACCGTTATAACATGTTATAACTGCTCAGTCTGGACAGCGTTTTATCCTGATTGTATGGTTACTTTGGTTAAGCACGCAATCTCAATTAGTTATCAAATCAACTGTGTGGTTTTGTTCTCCTCTTTGTGGGCGTTGTTCGTGCTCAGTGTGTTTTCGTTTGTTTACAATAAAGGTTGCGGAACAGTGTTTTCTCCGGAAGCATGTCTTTCGGATGCTTGGACAGCATCCGAAATCGGGGGTGGCGAGGTAGTTTTTGACGGAGGGCCACAAGAAATCTACGATTTATAATATGATCGCTCGGTTCTACGTTGGAGGGCCAATGGCCAACAACAAAAAACCAGGCCGACGGAGCGGAATAAGCACGGCCAAGCGGACGAAATTGAAAGCTGCCGCGAAGAACAAATTTTTTTTTTTGCATGACAAACTATGAGCACGAGTCTTATTTGTATAATAAAACTCAGGCTCATCCATGGTAAAACTCGTATAGTTTTTGTATAGTGCTCATTATTATTATATCATTAATGCTCATGTTCATATCACGCAGAAAAAAATATTATCGGAATAAAAATATTTGAGATAAATATAAACGTAAACTCAGTTTGTTCTGTCCACAAAAATAAACTAGGTTGATTTCAAACGTATTTCATGTTCAAAATCATGTGACATCAATGTTTAAAATAAAAATCATGTTACGTTTATTTAAAAAATATTCGTTTGAAAATAAACACGAATATTTCTGTTTTGTTTGATATCTTCGTTTAAAATAAACGTAAATAAATACGTTTATTTTAAACATGATTTTCAAGTTTATCTTAAAAGTATTTTATGTTTAGCATGATTTTATATTTCTTACTATAAATTACTTTCGAACGCGCGATAAAACAAATAACAGGGGTTCGTGGATTTTCCTATGTTTCGAGGGATGCATCGATTAGCTTGGGACCGAAGAGAGTACCATAGCTGAGCCAAAAAGTTGAGCACTTTTCTTCAGGATCTTCTGGTCGTAGAGTTACCTCTATGGTATTAGCATAGAGGTAACTCTAAGACCAGAAGGTCCCGAAGAAACGTGGTCAACTTTTTGGCTCAGCTCTGGTACTCTCTTCGGTCCCAAGCTAATCGATGCATTCCTCGAAACAAAGGAAAATCAACGAACTCCTCATTTTATCTGTCAAACTTTCATAGTGAATCAAAACAAACATAGTGTAGTACTGGAATTTATACTAGAATGGGGTACGTTAGTCAATTTGCTTGGGACCAATAGGCTGGTC